TAAAATAGTTAAATATCTACATACAAAATACTTTGAGGGGTGCTATAAAAATGAAAAACTGATATAAACAATCAAATAGAATGTTTAGGAAATAAAATAAAATTATTGAATTAAGAAAAATCAGCAGGTAGGTTTAACCATTCATTATATATAGAAAAGAAAGGCTTTCAGTATGGAAAGAAGCAAGTAAAACTGTCTTTCTTTATAGGTAAAGTGATCATCTATGTAGAAAATATAATGGAATGTTCAGAAAATCAACTAGTGCTAATAAGTTATTTTCTGCAAGATTACAGAATGCAAAGTCAGTACACAAAAATTAGTCATACTTTTGTATCTTAGTAATGTCTAATTTATATATATATATATACAGTATGTGTATGTACAGTTTGGTACAATATTCAAAACTCATCTGTACTTCTCTATATTAATAATGTGGAGTTCAGTAGGAATTGAACATTGTTTAAAATACTGATTTTAGGAACAGTACTATAGTTTTGCAAGAGGATATGTTTATTACTGGGAGATAAGTTGTTACAAAGCCATAGTGCATACTTACTCATAAATAGTTCATAGAGAAAAAAATGAGAATACTGACTTAAATTTGGCTTACTGTTAAAATGAGGTAAATCTGAGTGAACAAACAGTGGATGGAATTTTTTGGGCTACTCTGATAACTTTAAAAATTTATAATTGTATCAAACTTCAAGATTAATAAAAGACAAAAGAGTACTAAGAAAAATTTTATGCCAACTAATTTTAAAACACAGGTAGAAATGAGCACATTTTCAGAAAATTATAACCTTACAAAACTGTTAAAACAGAATTAGAAGACATCTTCCATAGTTCTGTAACCTTTAAAGAACCTTCATAGTGTAAAGTCTTATCAATAAACCAGTATTAAAAGTTCATGAGTATGTAAAAATAATATAACCTCTCAATAGGTACAGAACATGTATTTCACAAAATTCACCATGATAAAAATTTCTAGCAAACAGGGAGGAAAATTTTAAATTGATAATGGCCATCTAACAAAAACTTAATGATGAAATATCTTCAACTTTAGTTATGGTCTTCACATATGATCTTTGATATGTTGAGTGAGATCTTTTCTTATTTGTGAAGTGTTTTTATCATGAAAGGGTGCTGAATTTTCCCATTTTTTTTTTGTTATCAATTGAAGTTATTTTGTGGTTTTTAGCCCTTCACTATGTCAGTGTGGTGTATTACATTGATTAATTTTTGTATGATGAACTATCCTTGCATTGCAGCAGTAAATTCCACTAGGCAGTGATTTATAATCCTTTTAGTGTGTTGTCAAATTCAGTTGAACTCAGTTTACTTGTTTTTTTTTTTTTTTTTGGTACCAGGGATCGAACTGCAGTCCTTGAGTTTGCGAGTCAGGCGGCGGAACCACTGAGCTAAATCCCCGGCCCAAATGGCTTTTTTTTTTTTGGTACCGGTGATTGAACTTGGTTCCTTGCGCTTGCGCAGCAGGCAGCAAAACCACTGAGCTAAATCCCCAGCCTCTACTTGTATTTTTTGAGGGTTTTATATCAGCATTGATCAAGATTATTGGTCTGTGCTTTTTTCATAGTATCATCTGGTTTTTGGAATTAGTATTGTTGGCTTCATGGAATGTGTTTGGACTTCTTCTTCCTCATTTTTTTTTTTTCCAAAAGAGTTTGAGAATAATTGGTTTTACTTCATCTTTAACTGTCTAGTAGAATTCTCCATTGTAGCTCTCCATTCCTGGATTGTCTGTAGGAAGATTTTTGACTACTGATTCAATCTCTTTGCTAGTTCTGTGTTCAGATTTTTTATTTCTTGATTCAATCTAG